TGCAAAAAAAAAAAAATTTTCCAACAATTTAGTTGGTCTAATAAAGGATCTTACATTTACCCAAAACTGTCAGATTGTTGCAGGGGAATACTTTCCCTTAAAATGGTAATGTGGAATATTGCATCTTTACCCCCATGACCAAGGTGGAAGGAAAACTCAGATTGCACGCTGCTCTCCAGTTGGGTGGCAGGGAATGGGTGATCCCAACACCAAATTCTGAAAGAGATGGTACATGAAACTGTAAGTCTGCTAGGAAAAGCTTCTAATAAATCTGTCCAACTGGGGGTCATATTGTGTATTGCTGAAGAATAGTAAATCTAGTACTCTGTGTTCAAGAAGGAGGGAAAATGATCTGGACAAATACAAGTCTGTTAGTCTGACCCAAGTCGTAGGCAGAGGGTTGGAACAAATGTTGAAGGAAAAAATAAGTATTAATAAATGGTTAATGATCGTGCAATTCCATTATATAAATGGAAGATGAGACAAAATGTGCCAACAGTACTATGTGTACGACCATGTTTGCATCCGACTGTTAAGCTAACTGCTTTGCTTGGCATAGGAAATGTAGCAGATGTAATCTAGCTGGACGTCAGCAAAGCAGTTGATACCATGCCATGTTGGAAATCATTATTTAATCTGGAAAAGAGTAGATTAGTGCAAAGAATTGAGAGGGACTGACTTAAAGGGGAGATGACAACAGCAGGTTGGGCTGAAAGGGGAACTACTGGACTGGAGAATGCTACTAAAAGGAGTTTCTCAAGGACCGTTTTGGGGACCAATCGTTTGGTTTCCTACTAATATCACTGGATTTCTCTTAATACAGCTAGTACAAAAACAGGATATGTACTAATAAAATTTGCTGATGAGACCATTAGGAGGCATTACCACAGACGCTTATAATGTAAAGGCAGAAGTGGATGTTCTTCAGGACTGAAATGCTAGACATTGGATGAAATTTAGTAGTATAGCGTGCAAGGAATTCCCTTCAGGACTAATAGCAGTTTCTGCTACAAGTGGGTAGTTTATCTCTTGGAAATGAATGCGATATGGATGTGCAAATTTGATTACAGGATTAGTATGAACAGCTAATATTATTGGGCAGTAAAGGTGGCAAATATATTTCCAGGTGAGTTATTTCCAGGATAGAGAAATAAGTTATAGTGGCGTGGTAAAAGGCACTGTTGGGATCTCACTTGTATACATTTCTGTTCACCCATGTTCAAGAAAGACGAAATCTTAGCGCATGATCAAGGGAATGAAGGTCCTGTGTTAAGAGACTAAAAGAGCTTTGTTCATTTAGGGCATTTATAGACATGCTCTTGAGGGGGCTCTGAGAGCTGCTCCAATTAAAGCGCCTGGAGTGTCACATGTATCAGTGTTTCTGTGCTGAAAAATGGCTGTAGAGGCACTTTCACTAAAGGTTGTTGAATGAGCTTTAGTTGAAAGCACTGCCGCCGCCACTTTTCAGCACAGGGACGCTGATGCACGTGATGCTGGAGCACGGTAATTCCCACACTCCAGCAGACTCAATTAATGAGGCTGCTCCGACGCGCTCTAATTACGGTGCATCAGAGCAGCCTCTCTGCATGTGTATAGGCGCCTTCAGTTTTTAGCAAAATGCGGTCTGAGCTAGAAGAACTATTTAAGTGAATGGACAGTGTTGGCACAAATGCATGTGAATACCTTTAAGAAAATGGAAGAAAGTTTACAACTATTCCAGCAGTAAGGGTCTGGAATGGCCTCCTGGTAAGAGCAGTGGAGCAAAAAAGTGTAACTGCCACCTTAAAAGTGGTTGTGAAGAGGGTTGTAATGATGCAGTTGCCTGTAGCAGCAGGGGAACAGACTCGTCTTAGGAAATCCTTTCCAGTTATGTGTTCCTTGGCAGAACAACTACGTTTTATAGTTAATGAGCCTGAATTAGTGAATATATTGTTAGTGTCAGAAATACCTTTGCGTGGCGATGCCGTACAGTCGGAACAGGTATTAGGCCTGGTGTGTTCTGCTGGATTTTTTTCCTTACTGCCTTCACTTGTTTGCGCGTTTCCCGAGGAAGACAGATTACAGAGAAAGAGAAGTAAAGATGAGACTTGGGGGGAGGTGGCTTGGTACGTTCTAGTTTTACACTGTCTGATGATTTTTATTAAAGGGTTTTCTAATATATATTATTATTTACTAGGAAACATGGTGAAATTCTGCCCCTCTGGCAGGAACTGCTTTGACATTCATTTTTGCTCACAGTATCACATTGCTCTTGTGAACAGACACACACATGCACCCTGCATTAACGGTCTTGTTACTGGCATAACTACATTTGTATTGCTAAGCAACAGTCGGCACCGTGTATCCTTCATTCTGCTACTTCGTATTTCAGTCTGTGCTGAAGTGCCTAATGAACTTGGGCTCAGAATCCATCAAAAGCAAAAGGTTTGATCAATGAAGAAAAAGTGATTGCTGTCTTATATTTTGTGCGATTGCCTGTCATTTCCTTACAGACTAGACTGTTAAAGGCTGTTTCAGCTCTGAGAAGGGCAATTTAAAACGTATGCTTTAACACATTCCTAGAGAGTTGAACCTTGATCATCTTAATATCCTCTGACGGGGTATTCGTCTTGCACGCGGCTTCCTATAAATGAAGTTAGGATGTACTACCTAGGCATGTGATTCAAACATTTTATTTATAAAGAAAATAAATACATAACTTAGTGGGTCTTAAGACTATGATAGACAACTATAACTATTTAATTTAGAACAGAATCTGCATAACACTAATCAAAGAATTTCACCCAGTAAATACAACTCTTATGCACATAAGAGATACATTGCCAGTTTAGATCTCTTTTAAAAATCTAGCTTCTATTAAAGAAAAATTTTAATGTACTACTTCAGTATGTTTAAGAAAAAAAGTGACACATGTTCAGAGAAAAAAAGAAATCTGAGGAGGATGCTAAAAACTATAAATGTTTGACCAGCTCAACAGCCACTGCTTTCTGACCTTTTGCATTGACTTTTGCCAGCTTACAGAATCCCACTTTTACTCCAGCCTGTGGGATGAAATTACAGGCCCTCTTCCCAGTAGGGGAAGCCCACCTATGTGGTCAAGTGCTCTGAAAATCACTTACCATCAACAATAAGGTATAAGAAATAGCAAAAAGACTTATTGTGAAAACGGGATTTCATAATAATCAGTAACCGTATGCTGAGGACAGACAGGGATATGAAAAACAAATAGAAAGGCATAATAACAGTATTTGATCTTACCCCTATGCCTTAGCACTAAAAATTGAGCTTCTACTTCTGACCAACCTAAAGTCCCTTGTGTTACCCAGCTTTTCTTATTGGGAGACTAAAGTACCCAATGGCTGGGAGTTTTTAGACCCCATTTGCCTCTCCAGGCATGACCTTAAGTACGTTTTCTTGCACCTGATTACTTGCATATTTTTTCCACTGAATACTTGGAAGCATATAACTTCCAGGTCCCAGATGTACATCTGTTTATCATGCCAGTCCTAATCCAGTTATTTTTAGGAAATGTTTACATCGTTTTAGTCTAATTCAGTATCCCCAGTTATCAGAGAGAGAGAGAGAGTTATAGTTTGGTAGTGTCAGAGTGATGTTTAAACTGTGATGGTACAAAAGTTGCCTCTTGGATTATTCCTGCACCATCATAACTGTAGTGTCATTCCAACACTACCAAATGTGTAGAATACTGAAATCTGACACTTCAAGTGGAAAATGCACAATCTTTAAGGGGAAATAAAGCTGCCAGATTATACAGCCAACGTCTTTTTAAGTTTGTGAAGACACATGACAATGTCTGCAAGGGACTTATTATCTGCAGCCCTCTAGCTAAGACATTCAACTTCATATATGCAACACAACTACGCTGGAGAACCTCAAACAAACGGAGAAACCATTTTCTTCACCTAACCTACTCCAAAAGGGATCCTATTTATGCAACTAAATTAAGAGAGATTAACCGGGAGACATTGCTGGCTACAATGCAGCCAGACGCAACATATGACTGAAAATACCTGATGACAGCCATCTAACACAAGGGTGCTCAACCTCCAGCCCATGGGCTACATCTGGTCTGCAGTGCCTGCCATCTGGCCTGCAGGGCTCCCCATGCGTCCAGAAATTTGGTGGCAGGGGAATGGAAATTTGCTCCCCTGCTGCCATATCTCCAGGTGCGTGAGGCCTGATCCCAGTGCACTGGGCTAGGCAAAGGTGGCCCTGGGCCCCAGGGCCTAGTCCTGGTGTGGGAGGCTAGGAAGGGGCAGTACTGCCTCTGTCCCCCAGACCCAGTTTTGTCACCACCCCCCTTTGCCGGGGACCCAGTCCCATGGGGTGGGGGGGGAGGTGCCAGGTCCTCAAGACCCAATCCTGGCATGTGGGGCAGGGAGGGTCAATACCAATCCCCAGGGCCTGATCTGGCCCACAGATGGGCCCCCTGCTATGCATCTGGTGCCCAGGGCCAAAAGGTTATACACCACTATTCAAATAGAAGAAGAAAAAGTGGATTTGGCCATCACAACAGAAGCTACCTCACAGGCAGCATACCAGAAACTAAACACAGCTTAACATTAGCCATGAATAGGTACCAAATGCTGAATGGTAAATCTTAACATTAGCTGTAAATAAAGACCTGATTCCTGAAACTAGCTATGCATGATGTTCCACGAACCCCCAAAATATTGATGGCTTGTAACAGGGGAAAACTTTAAAAAAATACCATGCTTGCTGATTTCTTACCCTCTCTCCCTATTGCAAAACTTACAGAAGAATTGCTCTTGTGCTGCATGTAAAACTGCTCTGTGAACTTTGAGTGTCCCTGTTACGGGTGTGGTATTCTAATTTGATGTATGGGAAGTGGGAGGCACGGAAAAATTAAATTTCTTGCCTAGCATGTCAACGGATGAATCAGAAACGCAACGCGGCTCCCAGACCTGGAGCTTAACCACTGAACTAATTGTCTTAATAACATTGTTTTACATTTGTAGGAAACCTGTCTAGTTTAAGTCGTCTTGGCCTGAGGTACAATAGGCTGTCGTCAATTCCGAAGTCGTTTTCAAAATGCAGTGAACTTGAAGAACTGAATTTGGAGAACAACAACATTTCTACTTTACCAGAGGTGAGAGGCACGAGGTGCAGGTTGGGGTGAATGTGGTCAGGAATTTTTCAGTTTCAGGACATCAGAAAAAAGCAGACAAAAAGGTGCTGGAGGCTCACTTTGTCCTCTTGCCTCAGCTCAGGCAAGAATGTCCTGTTCATTCTGCATGCAAAGAATTATCTTTAGCATCTTCGTAATGCGGGCTCGTGTGCAGTCTTATACCAATGTTGCCTTACCACTGCAGTACGTCTTTCTTGACGACACACCACCCAGTGGCAAAAAGAAAACTCGTCAGCACTTCTCTGGTGACCTGGGATTGTGCATAAGGCTAGGAAGGAGCAACTCTTCCGCTTTGTGCTTCTCCAGTAACTGCCAGTTCAGCTAGTCTCCTGCCCCATCCCAGTCATAGGATATGCCAATTTCCTTAACCATCACAGCACTCAACTTTGCTGGGAACACGGTGCTCCTAGGGATTTGGCACCTAATTTCCCTCTAGAAAGAATACTTCTCAGCTCAGTTCTTTGTGGTTTGGAGGTGGTGAGAGAGACAAGGCTTCATTCCAGTAAACTTAAGCACTCTCTCTACTCTGAAATACCCACAAACATCCCATTTTTTTCTGCCTGTGATACAGATTGTTATTGGCAATTTGAAGAGATCAGAGAACAATCTTAGACTGGGCTTTGCAGAGCCCTGCTAGTTTGCACCTTTGCTCTTCCCAGTCCTCAGATTGACATAACAGGACAGCAGTCCATCAGATTTCATGGTGATGGTGGCTTTTTGCACTGGCAAATGTTTAGAAGCCACTTTTTAAATTAAAGCTTAGTGTGTGAGTAAGAATTGCTCAACTTGTGAATTCACTCTAAAATCAGCAGATTATTGTTTGGGTTTTCTTTGCTCACTTGGCAGAGCATATTGCTTCTATTTAGACTTGTAGAAAAGTACGGCTGGAAGGCCAGTCAATCCAGCCACCCACATGAGGCAGATTCATCCATATCCAAACCATTCTATACAAATCCATTGTTTAACCTATTAACAAAACTACAGCATAAACCCTGACACAGCCACATGGCATAACACCCTCAGCTGCCACAGGTAAAGCAGGGGGACCATGGTGGCTGGTGTCCTGCTGTTGCAGATAATAAGCCTGAGATATCCAACAAAGAGGGCCGTGGCTCCTCGTACAGAGGAAAGCAGAAACCCTGACAGTCCTTACAAATCTGACCATGGCATAAAATCCCATCCTCATCCCAGATATGGCAGTCAGTCTGACCCTGAACAGAAGGGCAAGACCCTGTAGCCAGGAACCTCCGGGTTTAAGTCTCAGCAGCAGCTTTGATGCACCCCAGTCAGTATCCCCAGCCTTGGCTCCGCCAACACCCAGTGGTCCTGAGGAAGCTGAAAAAAGAGTGAACAAACCCTGTCATAGGAGGGGGAAAACGTTCCTTTTTGGCACCATGGGGCAACCAGCAAAGCCCAGAAGCATGGGAAATACCTGTAACAGCACAGACATCCTAGAAACCACATTAGTCTTCTACCATTCATGTGCTTCCATTGTGTGGGAATAGTTTCTTGTTGGGCTTCCAATATTGTGCCCTTTAAAAGCTTCCAACCCTCCTGGGTGCCTTTATCCTTCAGTCTTTCTTCCCATGGCACCATGTCTATTAACTCCCCTTGTGTGGGTTGAATTCTGCCTTTTTTAAACCTGGCATCTTAGTTCTGCTGACCTTGTGGTTTCCCTGTCTCAGGATCATGAAGTCTATCAAATTGCAGTCACTTCCTCCAAGTTTCCCATCATGTTTGTTTTCCACCAGTTTTTCCCTGTTGGTCAGGACAAGATCCAAGATAGATGATTTGCTAGTTGTATCCTCAACCTTCTGGAACAAGAAGTTGTCCTCCACACAAGTTAGGGTTGTCTCAGCATTTTATATCTGGCTCTCTTGTTTTTCCAGCAGATGTCCAGCAAGTTGAAGTCTCTTACCGGTACTATCTTATAACTTTTGGATTGTTTTGTCATCTCCTTGAAAAGTGCCTTATCCTCCTTTCCATTCTGACTTGGCAGCCTACAATAAATCCCCAACATTATATTGTGGCTATATCTTTCACCTTATATCTTGACCCAAATATTTTGATCTGCTGTCTTTGCCTTTTGAACCAGGGAACAAATGTATGTTTTTGACATACAAGGTGACACCATTGCTTTTTCTTCCAACCCTGTTCTTTCAAAACAAATTGTAGTTCTCAGTATTGATGTTCCAGGCATAAGAGCTGTCCCACCAAGTCTCTGTGATACCAATCAGTTCTTTTTCACTGGGCTATGACTTCTGGCTCGTTTTGGTTTTTCCTCCATATTTCTTGCATTTGTATGCATACATTGGACATATATTGCATTTTAACCTACTCGTTTCTCTTTTGCATCACTTGTTGCTGTCTTCTGGCTTTCTGGCCCTTTCCCCGGATTGAGCTGCTGCTTCCAGTCCTTCCCCCCCCCCCCCCCCTCCCCTCCCTGCTGCTCAGAGCAACCACTGAAGCAGGGGGAACCTAGTTGAAAAACCTCCTTGCTAGGTTAGGTAGACGATGCCCAAAGGTATTCTTTCCTGTTCTGGCAGCCTTTCTATGATGGCACAGGTATAAACAGCACATTTTACAACTCACATTTTATACTTCGCTATAGGCGAATCCTGTTCCTGTTGGAGACAGGAGTTTTGCCACAGACTTAATTGGTTTCAGGATTTTCCCTTATGTTTTCTAGGGAAAAGTCCCTCCCATCTTATAGAACTGATTGGAGCTTAAGATTTCAGGATACGCTGAACAGAATTTATTCTACTATATTTCAAAGCCTCGTCTAAATGTTACCACCACGTCATTTCAGTTTTTGGACCTGTTCTACAAAGAACCACATGTGCCACTTGAATTGCCTGTATCAAATAATTAAAATCTACCTCAATTGGATGAGTGAAGTGGGAGGCTTTACAGACAACAAAAGAGCTGAAAATAAATTAAGGAAGCTTTAGAAGCACCCAACTACAGTAATTGCTTTTCTGCAGAGTAATTATCTTAAGTTCAGCAGTGATTGACTAGAAACAGAATTGAACAAATATTGAGGTAAAACTGACTTATGATCACTGTTGAGAGAAAGTAGCCTGGCTGCTTTTAAGAACAAAGCTTAGCGACTCCACCCAGGCTTCTTATGAAAGTAACTGCCCTGTGATTGCAGATACAAAAGTGATTCACTAAAGAACTGATTACGTCTTCTAAAGTAAGCTGACTTGTAATACAAAACTCCCTAGACATAGTTCTGCTTTACCCATAGGGGTTAATCTGACAGTTAGTTATACACAAGTACAAAGGGGCAGCTCAAGTATTCATGTGGTAATGTAATCCATTTAAAATGAAGCATCCTTGGCTACAGTATAAAGAAACTCTATTTGTAGAGAAAATTGCTGAATTGCAAAACGTAGCCAGAACTCATGACACAATAGCTAATAAATATTATATCGTAAAAGGATGGTTTAGGAAAAGAAGTCCCACAGTTTCCATAAATATTGAATGCATTGTTCTCGTCTAATGTGTAACTAAGCTTTCCTCTTTCCTTTCAAAAACATTTTAATTGTTAATTACTTGTGATCTCTTAGACTGCACCAGATATGTATTATTATTGTTAATGTCTTTGCATAGTCATAGATATAAAAAGTGGCATTGGAAATGCAAAGGTCTGTTTGAAACAATAAGGTTTAAGTGCTAGGCAAGCCCGGAGTGCTATTGCAAAGTTCAGAACCAGGAACTCCAACCATATAAAACTTGCTAAAAGGAGGATATCCTCCTACAAGACTGTTAAATAATGATTAGATTTTAATATGACTAATATCTCTGCAATGTAAAGGTCTATTGTTTAGGTTTTGGGGGAAAAATTGTTACAGTGATTTGACTGAGATAAGTCTTTTTTGTGTGTGTGTTCAAATGTCTGCAAGTTTTATTGGCCCACAACAGCATGCAGTAGATGAAGTCACAGTTTAATCCTCTCTAGCAGCCGAAAAACACTTGTGGGTGAAGTCTATTGACCATTGAGGCATATTTTATGGCAGCTGTGATGTAGTTGTGACCCACAAGTGAAGACATTTGAATTTGAGGTTGAAGTTTTTTGTGAAACTGCAGCTTTTCTGTCCTGATCCTAGCTATTACAATATTTATGATACGTAATATCATTCATAAATGTCTAATCCCTGCAATAATTAAGCAAAGGGCTGAATTTACGGTTGGCATAGTAACAAGCAGAGATGAAATTTCAGCTGTAGTATGGCATTCACTATTTATTTCTGTAGTGCCAACTGTGTGCGCCTAGCAATTTACTGCCCGGTAAGAACCTGCGATCCCTGTTTGACGGCCTTATAATCTAATTACACTCAAGAAAGCCCAGAAAGGCAGATGAGAAGATGAGCAGTGGGTTTGACTAGCAGCTTAGCAACCGGTTTAATGCTGGGTTTTTGTTTTGCATCTCTTTATTCTTTGTTTGTCACAAAATGACAAATATAGTTAAACTTATTTTATGGCAAGAATAAGATCCCCCGCCCCTTCCCCCCGGTGTTTCTGAAAAATGCAGATATGGGGCTGGTGGGGGGCAGGTGACAGAGGTATGTGGGGGGGTGGGGTGGTGAATGAATGTGATGTCTTCTGGACTGTTTTGGTTAGCGTGTATGTTATCTGAACTTTAAGATGCTTTTAAAATACTTGTTTGCTTGACTGCAGTGGCTGAAGTTGTAATAGTCTATAAAGGGAATTCAACCTTGTGTCAGGTCTATTCATAAAATAGACTTTTTTAAAATACACATCTGTGTTACTATAATAACACATTGAAAAGCAGTGTATTGGTTGCCACCTACTTGAGCCCACATACAACAGTTTAGCACTGTTAGTTTTGTACTTTCTACACAATTGCCATGAAGCCTGTCACAGTTCAGAAATACAGGCTGCACTTCATCCAGTACTGGAAATGCTGGTCAGACATAGCGTATTTTTGGCTGAGCTTTCTAGTAACAGCTGTCCGCTCTCTGGATTGCTCTAGACAGAGCTATCAGTGTTTGCTGAAGACTGAGCAACAGGTTATAAAACCATTACTCTTTTTCAGAAGTAGTATCTGGAAAGAAAAATAATAGCCGTGTTTCCAAATGCTGGTATGTTGCCCTCTTGTATACTGGTACAATGTGGGCATGTCTGCATTTTCATTAATGTGCTGTAATTATGGCACATTTGGTTTAGCACCTGTAATAACAGCGTTACTGCACATTAAGTTTAGTTTAGTACCTGTAATACTACAGGTGTTAGTCTTGTGGTACCCGTAATACTACAGGGAGTAGTTTAGGACCTGTTTTTTAGTAATAATAGGTACTAAGTTGATGCGCCGTAATCGGCGCTACTGTGCATTAGCACAAAGGAATGCTTTTTAAGTGACATTAATGCTCGTTAGACTAAATCCTACTGCACTTTAGCACGCTAATGCGCAGTAGAATTAGTCTTTGCGCATTAAGCATCTTGTTTAGATGTGCCCTATGTGTGGGAGCAAAGAAATAAAGGTAACACCTAGAGATTGAGAGAGAAATTAGTTGGGTGGGGTTTTACTGAATTTAAGACTAGCTAATATTACAACACTTCTACTTTTGGGGTCTGCTGGGGGAAGTTTCTCAAGCTGACCTAGTGGGGAAAGGATGCATGTTCAACTAAATGTCAAGTCCTAAGCTCAAGTAAATAGATGTGCTGAATGGGTGCGTGTGTTCCTTCTCTACAGGGTCTTTTATCCAGTCTTGTGAAGATGACTAGTTTAACACTAGCCAGGAATTGCTTCCAGTCGTACCCCGTGGGTGGTCCATCACAATTCTCTACAATCTATTCTCTCAACATGGAACACAACCGCATCAATAAAATCCCCTTTGGAATTTTCTCTAGAGCGAAAGTGTTAAGCAAGCTGAACATGAAGGTGAGGCACTGTCATGCTAATGTTTTTAAAATCCAAAGCAGAGGATTGAATTTATTTCTGTGAACTCCAACTATGTAAAGAACAGATGACATATAAGACAAAGAAAGGCACTTTTGCCTTAGTCGCATATTGCAGACACAAATCCTTTACCAAATATTTTACTGGCTTAAAAGAAAAAAGCCGAGATTATTGGAACTAAAATGTTGTTTTTTTTTTTTTAAACCTATTTCTGCCGTTAACTTCAGCTTCAACTTCAGTTTGTTAAATGAAAATCATTATGCATTAAATTAGTTGCAGATTCATTTTTCCAAGCGCGCACATTTGAGTCTCGGAATACTACAAGGCAATAGTTCATTTCAGTTGAATAGAAAATTATGGAATTTACCAGTATTATTGGCTTTTTGGTTTTGCATAAGCTTGTGCTTTCTCTAAAATGATCTAAATTGGGATTGTGTTGTGGGGAATAGTTAGTGAGCACAAATAGGTGTACTTTATCCCTTCTGTGTACTGTGCTAGGTGCTGTATGTGTTTGATTTAAGGACATATTTTTGTTTCTAGACTGCTAGACAGGTTACAGACGCAGAAAATAGACCGTATGAACAGGTGAATAACACTGAAGCAGTTGGTTGGTTTAACGTGTGACCAAGTACAGCCAGAGATAACAATGCTTCTTAGACATGACAAACAATTTCTTGATGTAATTTTAAAAAACACATTTGTTGACAGATGACGTAAGTTTTATTTATTCCTAGTTGGACAGCACTGAAAAGATAGGAGCTTTCAAAATGTCTTTTCTTCAAAGAGCTTGCGGACTGAAATACAAGCTTAAATGGAAGTGCAATATTAAAGGTTGGAGGCAATGGCTGGAACGTGTTTTAGAGGTTTTCAAATTATTACCAAAACTCCTATAACCTTTCTTTGGATATTGGATCCATTTTTATTAGCTTAAATTTGTGTTGACTTCAGATAAAATGGTATCTTGAAGATAACTGAATTATTAAAGTTGGTGTCTTGAAGTGTTACGTTGGAAAGGGCGTTCTGTTTGTAGTTGCAGTGCAGGAGAATGAGACGAAAAGAGAATGTTTTCTGTGGAAGACTGGATTGATTGAGTTTTTTAAATTATTTCAGAAAATACACATGGAGGGAGAAAGTATCAGGCCATGTGGAAGCTGCAGTTAAGATTGGCTGTTCTCAGGTTTAAACACTTAGCGTAATGTTTGTGGGTCTCTAACGTAGATAATTATTCTTCTCTACAGGTACCAGGCAGTCTTTAATTTGTTTACCAATAGTTTGAACAGCCTGGCTAGTGGTTAGTTTGAATTCTCATTATCCAGTGGCTTAGACCTAATTGCATTTCAGGCAGTCTGGGTAACTCGAGATTGTGATTCATTCCCAATGTTTGTGCTGCATCAGCAGTTCTGGTGCATCTGTTGTTTGCAAACACCAGGTGTAGAGTTTTTATAACACGGGGTCTGTTCCTGGCTGGTCCTGGTGTTCCAGCTGCCGGTCATAGGCCTTGAGCCATAAATAACACTGACTCTTAGAAAGCAATTTAAGCGTACTCGACTTTGCTGAGTCATTAATAGCGTCTGTGCCCGATATGGGTCAGTTTTGTTTTGTTCTCTTCCAGCCCCCCCTTAAGGCAGGTATTCATGCCTAAAGTGATCATATTGGACCCCAGTATACACTCTCTCGAAGAAAGTAAGGTGTCAGACAACTGCGACAACCGAAATGTCAAGAGTTCTTGTCCTTCTAGAACGCGTTTTTTTCCGTTTGTCACTTTGGTAACGCAAAGAAAGCTCAATATCTCAAGATTGGATGGTGCTCATCGCATTTTTGGAATTCTTCTTTTTTTAAAATGTTCCAATATTTATCAAAGTTTTTCCCTGTAGATTTTAAGTAAAAATAAATATATTTTTTTTATTTAAAGTAAGCGCTCCATTTTAATTCATTTTCCAAGCTGGCTGCTTTTCAAATGCAAAATCTAAATGTTTCATGTCTTCAATCACAGGACAATCAGCTAACCTCTCTTCCTTTGGACTTTGGAACGTGGATTAGTATGGTAGACCTGAATTTAGCCACTAATCAGCTCTCAAAAATTCCTGAGGATGTCTCTGGGCTGGTTTCCCTTGAGGTGAGAACGTAGCGAATATCTGAGTAACCAGATCTTCACATAATAATTTTCTCTGTTTCTGATTTAAGTGATGTTATTTTGGGTAATGCATGAGAAGAATGTAAAGAAGTATGTGTACATTTCAGATGCTTAGGTCTTACTTGAATAACCTTTTTGGAGTCTGGTGCTCTTGAATGCTGTGTGTACGCATCTCCTGTATTATTTGCTTTGAAAAGGAAAGGTCTCCCAACCATATGTATAGTGTTATGGAAAATAAAATGAAATCAAACTAGGTTCAGTGCTCAGAAGCTCTGGCATAGAAGTAAAGGAAGCCAAAAAATCAGCCTTAACCATATGGGCCAAGCCTTTGCCATAAAGGTGGATGCTAGGGATTCTCTTGGACCTTCTTTAGGCGGGAAGTAATGTAGATGGATGCCAGGAACTAAGATGAGCCTTCTCTTTTGTTCTTACTGGGCACGTCTACACAAGGCACTAACTGCTCAGTAGCCTAATAACGCTTTGCAGTAGTGTGCTGGGCAAAAACCGTATTAGGCTACTATGCAGTTAGCATCACTAAAAACCCATGTGCTGGCACTGCTGCACAATAGCGTGAGTTACTGCACATTGGTTTAGTACTTGGTTAACCAAGTACTAAACTTAATGCGTAACAACTATGGTGCATTAATGAACGTGTAGACGCGCCCACTCAGATGGAACCTTGTAAGGGTGAGCAAAGACAGACGAGCTTAATTGCCTTAAAGGGACAGAAGGGCATTTGAGCAGGTAGTTCTGCACATTAAGGGAACTCTGAAACCGTCAGCAGGTCACTGAAAAAAATCTGTTGATAGTGCCAATAATAAATGGCACTCTTAAAGTTCAAAGCTGCTCCAGCATAACTGTTTGTGCTGTAACTTTTCTTCCAATCAGCTGATAATTTTCTATAGTTTGGGGGGAGGTTAAAATTTTATAGAGGCAGGGTGTGCTCAATGATCCAGTTCTCTTTCGCTCAAGAATCTTTCTGTTTATAATAGCAAAATCAGCAACTTCTGGAAAATAGACAGTGAAATGTCATGCTACTCAAGCCAGAGATCTTTAAGGCCTGCAAGCCCGTTAGCTTTATTTTCCCTTAAAATAAAGATGTGGGTACAAAGAGTTGTTTATGCAATGTTTTTAATGCAAAAGCTGAAGGTTTCTGCAGCAGTGCAAAACAGAGGGCTCCTTAGGGGTTAGATCACTGGGCTCTGAGCACTTGCAGATCATGCTGAATTAACATGGTGTTGTGGACACTTGGAGCTACTAAAAATTAAACATTGCATGTCAGTTTGCTCATTAGTAAAATGTCATAATTACCTGCCTTATGGTGGTATGAGGCTTAATTGCTTTTAGGGATCTTTTAGCTCCTCTGGTGAAAGGTGGTGTATTAGTGCAAACTGTGAATAATATAATTATTTATGTAGCATCATAGGTGACCCTGGTACTTGAAAGCATAGGCAAAGCCGGATTTTTCAGTCCAGAGGAACTTCGTCTAACTGAAATGAGAACAAATAGGAGGTGGTGGCAACCCCAAGACGACTAGGAAAGGAGATTGATGAATGATCACTTGAGAGATGAGTGCATGTGTGTAGAGAATTTCCAAGCGCTTCATTATACAAGGTTTCAGGGTTCCCTTTTTAAAATCCACTTGTGGATGGACTTGAGGATGGTGTGAGGCTTGGCAGATTAGGGAGGATATGGAAAGCAGAGGGGACAACAGGAAAGAGGACAGTGGGGCAGGCAAAGAAAAGGAAGTTTTTAGTAGGTCTTGTTTTCTTCACTTGTTAGCTCTGTTCTGTTTTTATCTTTCCTGTAGTCTTGTGCATTTTTCAGGTAATTCCATTGATCTGCAATCTGTTCTTGTCTATTTAAATTTCAGTAGTTTAACTTTGTGAATATTGTTTTAATTGCTGATTTTTGTTTCCTTATTTTTCACTCGCATAGTTTTAGCATATGCCAGTTTTGCACTGAATATCATGTAGTTCCAAAGTGTAAAGAGAGAGTTTTATTGTTTGCATATTATGTTACTGAAAACATATATTTTTTTTCCTTAAGGTTCTTATCTTGTCAAACAATCTTCTAAGGAAACTTCCCCATGGCATTGGAAATCTGCGGAAACTGCGAGAATTGGATCTAGAGGAGAACAAACTGGAATCCTTGCCAAATGAAATAGCTTACCTTAAGGATCTGCAGGTAAAGCAATGAGTTGAGATGTGTATCATAACCCTTTCATTTACACCAAGTCAATTTGAAAGTTCTTACTTAAACGGATTGTACTCATCACTCCTAGGAAAGCTTAAGGAAGGAATTCAGATTAGTGCAGGCAATCAGTTATCAGGACTTTTGGTTTTATTCCCACCGTTTCCATCATCTTGGTTACTTCTGTGATCAAGCTAGACCATATAACAGTGAATAAAATAACAAAGTCATTACTGGAATAGCTCAAGATTTCAGTAATGTTTATAACATGCTGTTATGTTTCCTTGATGAAATGTAGTTCTAAAAGTATATATTTACTGCTATATTTAATAACATTCAACAGAAATTTTGAACTCTGTAAAGAGCTAGGGATTGCTCCTTCTTCTGTTAGCTGTTGGTTACAGAAGCTACTAGCTTCTGCAAGCTGTTGGTTTACCAGCTAGATTTTCTGATGTTTCTCTGTCTGTTTGAAAGCACATAGTGTTAATTTAGTATTTTTAAAAACTTCCCCTTCAGAAATTAGTTTTGACTAATAATCAGTTGACCACCCTTCCAAGAGGAATTGGCCACCTTACCAATCTGACGCATCTTGGGCTTGGAGAGAATCTTCTTACACACCTTCCTGAAGAAATTGGTAAGATGCTGTTTCTGCTTTCACATACATACAGTATGATAAAGCATTAATTGCCAGGTGGTGGCAGCCTCTGGCCTGCAGCCCACGTGGCCCACCAACCTATTTCATCCAACCTGTGAAGATGGGACGTAGGTGGCTCGCCTTTTGACCAAAATCTGTTAATTAATCCTCCCATTCCTAAAAGGCGCCCTGCCCTAGAGCCCTGAGAGAGACCATGTAATATGTATCTCGTATGTCTGCAAAGCACACAAGTGCCATACTGGATCTCTGACAGTGACAGAAATCAATGCTGTAGAGGGAAAGCATTGAACCATTTATCGCTAGAGTTACCTACCCCCTATTCGGTATCCTTTCTGGCATTCACCATTATTGGTTTAGAGATGCTAGAAGAAACATTTCCAAGTTTCTCCACATGAAAAACTTCTCGCCAGGAGAACTCCTGTCTCGGAAAGAGCATTGCAACATGTTTTCTCTTACTGTTTCATAAAGCTATAGTGAAGGAAATCATCTGTTTTTTTTGCTGATTAGTTATTCTGTGTATGAACAGTTTACAGAGGAAAACTAAAACGGAGTAATTTGTTTCTCTGTGTTAGCACCTGATTAAGTAGGTTGTCGTCTGCGACAGCGCATGACTCTCTGAAGCAGTTAGTCTTGAAGGGGGCCACCCTGCCCTACCTTCTGCCTTCCTCTGTGTGTGGGGATAAATTAGCATTTTAAAATTATTCCACTTTACAGCTGATCCTCTGTAACTGTTCCATCCATCCACTTTAATTGGAAGTGAAACCACTGTAGCTGTAAACCTGTTTTGTTAAGGTTTTAAAGTCAGGGCAGTTTCCACTACAGTGGTATAGAATATGGGGCTGTGGGCAAACCCAGTCCCCCAGTGCCATCTCATCCAGCCTGTGGGGCTGCCTACAGGTCCAAAAACTTGCAGCGGGGGAGTGGGTTGCTGCCCAGTTTCCAGATCTGTGGGGGTGTAGGTTTGCACAGTAGTGCAGGGCCTGATCTGCGTGTACAGGAACCAGTGCAGAGCTGATCCAGCCTGCTGGCCAGCCCCTTGCTACTCATCTGGCTCACAGAGCCAAAAGGTTGAGCACCACTGGGTTGATCTATCTGCCCATTGCTGCAGAGAAGCAAGCCAGCCCTGGCTCTTACTGGGCTACAGATGGGTAGGAAGGTTGCTGTGTCTGAAAACCAAAGCGGTCATGAATAATTTCCTTGGCAAGCAGTCTCCAAGTGAAATAATCCTTTTGAGTTGGAGAGCTTCTTTTTGAATGCTGTTATAAGCCATGAGAACCAAGAGGGAGATTTGCTTTTATATTTGAACATTTTCTTTTAACCAGGTACACTGGAGAATCTGGAAGAACTGTATTTGAATGACAACCCCAATCTACACAGCCTTCCTTTCGAGCTGGCGCTCTGCAGCAAACTATCAATAATGAGCATTGAGAACTGCCCACTCAGCCACCTTCCGCCTCAGATCGTTGCTGGAGGACCCTCGTTCATCATTCAGTTCCTAAAAATGCAGGGACCATATCGTGCCATGGTCTGATGCAAATCGGATTGTCCCATACACTGTACAAAATCCAAACTGCATTAATGTTACCATTATTTATATATACAATATGTGCATCATGTATTGTATTATATATATAAATAATGTAAAAGGCAAATTTGAGACTGCATTATGTGTTTCTGCTAATAGAGGAATCATAGCCATTTAGATTTTTTTAATTCTGTAAAAATGCTTGTCTAAGTTTTCTTTGCTGAATTTGATGGATGTTTGTCTGAGTAATCTGGAAATGCCAGTTCACATAAAGTGATTGCCAACAAATTCAAAAATTAATTTTAAGGGAGAAAAATAATTTTGCTTGCATCTACTTTCAGTGAAGAAACATGCACACAATCTTATAGAGTGAGCGTTTGTTTCCCTCCTCCTTTTGTGTTGAACCCAGTAGGATCGTATGTCCTGAAGTTGGGATTTTCTTTAACTTATTTTGAGATCTGAAACAAACGGTGTTTTTGTATTGTTTACAGTCAGAGTAAATCACTGGGTTTTGTTTTGTTTTGATTTGCTCTGTTTTAATCAATCATATCTAGAATTTACATGCTTCTGCTGAAAAATTTTTATTGACCGGTTTATATACTAAAAATATTCACTCATCAAAACAACTGGTAGGGTGGAAAAGATGCAGTCAAAAAGAGCTTGAATTCTTTTAAGTCTTGCTTCTCTGTGGGCATAACATATCTGAACTGAGCCTTTTGCGGTTGATCTTTTCTAGCACAATTAACCTTTTCAGATTGGTAAAAATATTAAATGGTCTCAGTGAAAAGCAGTTCTCATTTTGTGAAGTTAGAATTCCATAAGGTCTAACAATAGCGTTGAATGGCAAGGAAATAATATATACGGACCTTTTTTATTATAATATTATCATGAATTACAATGAACAATTTTAAGGATTCCTCACAGTCCTTGTACAAAAAGATGAATGTGTCTTACTTTTAAACACTGCAGTTATTATATGTAAGTTTTAAGGGTGGTTAACAATGTACTATGGTTTTATATCTTGACTTGCCTTGTACCTCCTTCCACGATGGAACCTCTGTGTCCAAGCACAATATCTTCACACTGTGCTGTTTTGCTGCTGAACTAAATGCACTTTCCCCCACTGCTTGGGGCACTTGCTTCAAAATATTCAGTTCAGTACCACGGTTATGCTTTTATATAACCTCATCCTGTCAACTTCAGTATTAAAACCGATCTGTTATAAAGAGGCACTTTTTTTTTTTTTCATTTGTGCATAGATGGTAGCTCCATAGAAATACTGTAAGTTGTTCTCACACAGTTCTGTTCCCTTTACCTTGGTTGCTTCAAGGCAGAACTTGCTTCAGTGATATGCACACCATTGCTGCACTTGCCGTGCCAGTTCCCCTTCTTTTCTTTAAGAAGATGGAAAGTCTAAGGGCAGTTGCATTCCAGTTGTTCACTAAACTGTCCAGTTGACTTGCATAATGGATTGCTGCTGGGGTGTTGTGAGCTAGTGTATCTTTTGAACAAAATGCAATCATTGGATGCCATGAGAAATGTATTTCACATGCAGAAATTTGAGGATATGATTTCTGGCTTTAAGGTTGTGCTTAATTTTATGTATTGCCTTGTTCCGGTTTTCCCAACATGGACTGTAACTTGTGTTCTGTTTTGTCTGATGTCTTTTCATTAACAAGGAGCCTCTTGAAAGGCAGGTGGAGATATAAAACCTTAGAGGACTTAAACATGCTGTAAAACTATTGTAGATGTCACTGGATTTTACAAAGTAATGTCCTTTCCCCTCCCTTGTATTTTTTTTTTTTTTTTTACATCTTCTGTAGCTTTTCAGTTTAGATTTTAGTTTATAAAAAGTGTATGTTACATTTCTGGCTGGAGTTGATCTTTCTCAGCAGTAAGTCAAGATGCTGAAATGTGTCATTTCAAACTGTAATGGAGTTTCTGAATTTACTGTTAAAACCTACGCTGTACTCGATTCAGCTCAGTTCATTTGGGGACAACCGTTTTTTTTTTTTTGGTTAGTTGATGAATTTCCTCAAAACAAAGATAACTTTGTCTCGTGTCTTTTAAATTATATTGGTTGTCTTCCCCCATTTGCTCCTCCAGTTCCCCTTGAATGAGAATTTATCCTTAAATTTATAAATCATCTCGTCTCTGTCCTTTGCAACAGGGCAAGATTTTAACAATGAAGTATAATACAAAACCAAAGTCCAAGAAGAATCATTGTAGAGACTTCCCAAAAGCCTGAAGTAGTAGTGTATCTAATGGCAGGGGGCCAGTCCTGTCCTTACCACCTCTTGCCCCCTGCCAGTGGAATACATGCTTCCGATTATCACAGGCTAGAAAGATTCAGGTATGGACGTTGTTGGGCTGTATTCATGGAAGTGAGATTGTTTAGGATGTAAATAGTGTGATCAGATTATTCACCTGGTTAAAATGCATGGTTAATGACTCTGATTGAGCTGACCCCCTCTTTATAATACTCCACAGGATGAGAACTTGGTTACCAAAAATGCTTGTTACAGTCTTACAAATAAACGTGCAGTCTTTTGATTTCACTTAGAGGAATGAATAAAGTACTGAATCAAAATATAGTGATGTTAAAAAAAGGATATTTTTATCAGAGTATCCTTATGCTAGTGTAGTTGTGATAATGCTAAATACTCCCAAGTTGTCTTTGGGAGTGTTTTTAATTTTTTAGAAATTCGGAGGTGAACATTTGGGAGTGTCTAGAGGGAGAGATGATTCAAAACAGCACCAGATGTTCTGGGGCAGAAAAGAAACTTCAAGAATTCAGAAGGTTTTCCCTATAACTTGAATTATGTACTTTGGCTATTAAATGAGTATCTTGGATTTGGGAATAAGCTTTAGCAAGCAAAATAATTCTGAATTCCTGATTTTTCAGGGTGTTAGATTGTCACCTAGGTTTCTAGGTTGTCTTTTTCTGCCAAATGCCATATGCTGTAATTCATGCTCTCATATACATTTTAAGATTTTTACATCATGCTGGTCAAATTAAAAATAAGTAAAATAAGATATGGTATATTAAAGCATGAGCAAGCTGCAGGAACAGGATTCTGAAGGGTATTTAAGTAGCAGGTGGACAAAGGGATGTTCCAGATGTTTCGATTAAAACTTTTACGTCCCTTGCCATACTGATTTGACTAGTGTTATCTCTGAAATGCATTAAGGCCAGGTACAGACATTACACTTTAACTGGTATAAGTGATTAGAAATGAATTTGTACCCGTCAGAGAAGTTCAGCACACAAAACCAGTGTATACCCATAACAGAACAGAGTTTTGGTGCATAAACTGGTTTAAAAATGGTGGTACCTGGTCTAAGATTTGCCCCCACTCCTTTCCTTCCTCCCCCCAGCCCCCGGGCAAATATGTGTTTGGTTCAGCACTGATCTAAACTACGCTGCTTACAAAAAACTGCAACTTCGATTCCTCCCCTGACTTCTTGAATGTCTGTACCTAGCCTGAGAGACCATAATTAGAATAAGTGTGACAATCTTTAGGTCCCTGGTCTGGATGCAAAAGCAAATCATGACTTGTATTGCCTAATTCGGGCAATATTGGCAACCATATGGGGCACTGTCATGGACCATACCTTGACTAACACAAGCAAAATACTGTGCTACAGAGTATAGTGTTATGGAAATCTGATAAAGTAGAAAATAGATTAGGGAGCGTTTAAATGTAAAGGAGGAACAATTGCCAACATGAGTTGTGTTTTGAAGCACGTACTTGCATTTTGATTGGTCAAGTAGAAAGTTGATTGCGGACTCTTGGCTGGAAAAAACATTTTTATTTATAAACACTATAAAAATATTGAAGTTGCCCCTCTGACCACCTCGTTTAACTTTCTGAACAGGAACATTTAGATGACTATCCAGGCATTGGTAACTGCAGTAGAAATACTGTGTGTGAAAGTAGGGGGACGTGGTTCAAAATTGGCACTTTGAGGTTGCCACATGCTATTGGAAACTGAAATCCATGTTATTTTATTTTAAAACAATCTAGTAATGTAGAATATTTGGTGCTTCAGTGCCTCTCTCTTAGACTTTCTGTGCAGTTTTGTCCATCTTTAGCTGATGTTGTGTAAGAAATTGCATGTTCAGACTTCTTGAAGGTAGTGTTTGCTCATGTAAATGGTTTAAAAAGCAGTACTCTAGCTGGTTAGCACTTAAACCCACTGCATCACCTAAAGCGCAAAAACTTTCAGTACCATATTTAATTCTGGAAGTCTGCAAAATAGCTTTTTTTCTTCTTCTTCTTTTTTTTTTTTTTTTTTTTTTTTTTTTTTTGTGGAAAGCTTTGTTAACAGATGTTACTTTGTTACTTTTTCTTTCCTATTTTGTTTTCTTTTAAATCTCTGAAAGATCAATACAAACTCATTAACATATCAAGGGACAGAGGATGTCTTAATTCATAACCAAGGAATCTAAATGCAGCAGAGTGCTTTTGTATAGTCAATATTGCACCTCAGTTGTACGTTGAACCGGCATGCCAGAACTTGCTTTTAATTAGATGTGCAGTTGGCAGTGATTTGCACAACACACAAACTTCAAGGCACAGTTAGGACAATTACAAACAAATGATAGCATCTACAAACAGTATCAAATGGTTTTTGGTTTTATTCTAGCAAAGATCAGAAGATTATGTTTATTATGATATTTAGGTCTTAACCGGGACTGCACAGGATTTTTGCTGTGGGAATATACCAGACCACGATAATTTGTGGTCAAAAGCTAAATAAGAGTGTAAACAGTCTACAAAAATGTACTTTTAATCTGAATTATTGTAATGTTGATTGTTATGTCTATATAAAAGATTGCCTTGCTTTTTTATAAAGTCATTCTGTATCAATGCATTCATTATAAATATATTTGTAAATGAGCTGCCACTGAGTCTTTTGAAAGTTTTCTAGCGTTAAAGTCTAATTTAACTTGGAGGTAAATCATAATTTTGCAGTGTCAACAATGCTTGAGAACTGCGTTTTCAGTATATATACCTCTTCACTCTTTTGAAGATATTTTTTTTTCCAAGTCAAATACAAAGTTAAATGTATACTGATTTCAGGAAACTCCAAAAGTTGCATGACAGTAACTGCTCTAAATATCAGATATGTAAATTGCACACCTTTATAAAACAAATGTTTGTACAACCTTTTACTTTCATTTTGTTCTAGTATCACAGTAAGACATAAAGAGGATAGGGTCACCGTTCTCTTCAGAAGGAATAACAAACCTTGACTGTGGATTTTAGTGGAAAATGAGTTCCTGTGAACAAAATAGATGCCTAAAGTGCGTAAGAGACCAGAAATCACCTGGATTTACTCTATTTGGTTTAATAAAAGCAAACATTTCTAAACCAACATTATGCAGTTTTGAAGGATATCTTCTAACTGTGTAGCGTATTACAACACACAGCCACTGTTCCAAGTAGCTAGTGCTTACATTTTATTCTTCAAGCAAATAGACAAAAAAAAATGAATTCTAATGCTACTTTGGCATTTCCAGAAATGCCAGTAGCCCCATTTAGGAGACATTGCAGCAATCCAGTATTTAGGCGATGTTGAGATTTGGTTTGGAAAGAAAAGGTTGAAGTATTCTGGGTCGTTACGGGCTGGCAACTCAGGCAGAGGCTCATGCAGTAATGTCCAACTTTCTCAACAGGCAGCGGGCAGAGACGGTGGACAACTGCTGATGCCAAGAAGCCTACACTATCCCATATATCTTGACTGGGTTGAGCTTTTCTTCACCCAAACTGATTCAAGCTTGGTGAAGCATTGGGGAAAGAGGCTGCAGCACATGGGTCTGATGATGGGGTAATAAATCCAATTGGTATCACCAAGTTTAGGACACTTGAGAAAAATCTTATCCATCTCCCTGGATGCACATATGCATATGTTAAAAATATTGAATTAAGTTAGAGAATGAAAAATAATTTGATTTTTACATCTGCTGCTGCCACCTTATTCCCCTCTCTTTCATCCACTTGTAGCTGCCATTCTCACATACAACTCCGTTTCAGTTTCCTTCACTGGCTTCCTCTTGTCTGGAGTTTAAACTTCATTGTGCCAGATGATGGGAGGCAGAACTACTTCTGTGATTACGTTTCAGATCTTTTAGGTTCCACCTCTCCTGTTTAGTCTGCCAGTGATGTAAGTGGTTAAAAACAAAGTCCTGTCAAACTGTTTCTCAGTTAAAAAAAAAAAAAGAAAAAAAAAAGTGGGGGGCTTGACTACACTTTTTTTTTTTCCTTCACACCTGGTATTCTTTCTGAAGTTTTCTTTGTACATTTTTTCTTCGTTTTTTCAATAACTTACAATTTTCCGCAGAAAATGGCATTTTTGGAGGGCTTCCATTACAGTTTCTGTAGGGATAACAATCGCCCACTTTCTGTTTTGGTCAATGGCACGTCTTTCTCCCCCCTATCCCATGTCTAGGCAAATCAGCTCTATGCCTTGTTCATTCCTGTCCTCTATATGTGTCCACTCCTGTCTACGATCTCCCTACCCTTTGTTTCTCCTGTCAGCTGTTTCCTAACATCCAGAAATTAGATGAACAAATTGTCAATGCCAGGGCTGCCAAAAATGACCAAACAACCACTACTCATGGATAACTTCCACTGAGCCCCCAACCTCCCTTCTCTGCCTGTAATTAAGATTTTTTTTTTCAGCTCTCTGGGGGGCAGGAACTGTTCCTTGCTTTGTCTTGTGCAAAACTACGCATATTGGAATGGCTTGAGAGCATGACAAAATGAAACCTGCACAGCACCACCCACCAGATGTCTTGATGAACGTGAAAAATACCCCACTGCTTCTCTTGGTACGTATCAGTGACGGTAGGGAACAACCCTGGCAGAGCAGCCTCCTTCCCTTTGCCGTAGGCAGAACGTGAACCTTAATATCTGAAGTTATTGGATTTTGCAATAAAAGCGTTAACACCGTGCTAACGGTGGACTCCAAATTTAAAGTGAATATTTAAATCCTAATCAAAACGTTAAAGAAGGGGTCTGCAGGCTGGATCTGGGCAGTGAGGAGCTTCGATCCAGCAGGTGGGATCAGTGAAAATACCGGGGCTGTGGTGCCCATCCCCTCTGCAGTGCTTCCCTTGCTGCAAAGGGGATGGGAATCTGCAACAAGGGTGTATACAAACAGCTGAGCAAAAGCTTCCAGACTGCAACTACTGCCAGCAAGAGGCTGCCAACCCTATAGCAATAGTTAACAACAACACCAACTATATTTACCAGGCAAACAGCCATTTATATTGTAAGATACTGAGTACTATCAGCTCCTGCTATTGTGGGCAAATCCATTCCTTCATGATCTGTGGGCGCAAAACTTAACTAGAAATATTTCCCAGAATAATCTCAAAGCATTTTGCTTTGGTCAGTAGAATTTCTTCATCTGAAAGCTACCAAAGTACCTGCAACTCTGTTTTTTGTCTTCTCCTGGGAAAGCGTTTCTCACTGGGATTGCCTGGCCCTTTATTTCATCCCGAGAGCGTGCCTTGCAAAGATGAAAGGCCTGTTATGAAGGCAGAGGAAGGGAATGGGGTAGGGGAAGAGAGCAGGTGCGAAATGCTCGTTCCCATGTGTCCCTTGGAGAAGCCGCTTTGTGATCTATGAAACGTTGTGCAGTCTCTGCTCGATTTTGAAAAAGCTGCAACGCAGCCTGGGTTCGTACAGAAACTTGCCAGATTTCCTACTAGCTCCCCTGCCTGGCTCCTTGGCAGTGCGGTTGCTGCCAGGCAGGTGTGAAGCTGACACCCTGGCAGCCCTTACTCTGCTCTGGGGGGGGAGGGGGCTGCGAGCGGTGCATCCTGGGATCCTGGAGCACTGCAAATTGCTTGTTTTGCGTCCGTGGAGCAGACTGAAGTTACCCTAACACAAGCTTGGTAGCGCGGTCCAGAGTTAACCCTCGCATAAAGCAGTGCAACTTTGAGAAGCTCAGAGGGCACATAACACACTTTAACACGCAGACACTCATGTTTTAAGGGCCCATAGTATAATGTGCAACTTCACCCTTGTTGAAACAGGCTGCTTTGCCATTCCTAAATATGAGCCGTACTCTGACCTGAGTTGCCGGTCTAGATGATGGGAAGCTGCTGATGTGGATGCACGGCAAGGCCGTTGTGTCTGGCTTGACATTTTGGGCATCCCCCTTTTCTAAATGTGCTCAGTAGCATTTACACCTGGGCTTCCAATTGCCACTTCCTTACATGTGTAGCCCCAGCTGTGGTTCAGCCTAAACAAGTAGAAAGTCAAGTTCAGAGAGAGTTCAGCTGTAGCCAGCCACAGGAAGCTCGCAGCATTTCTCATGAAGCTGTTTTTCCTCTTAATGCTCGTGCTGTTACATGCAAGTCGCACTGACAGATCGAGCAGCAGGTTCAGAAGCAAAGCAATGATTTTTCTCAGTAGCTCTAACGGGTTACTCCTAGCATCGCATGGGGAGAGTGGGCACGATGATTTGTGATGCTAGCAATGAAATAATTTCTTGAAAGGATTGATTCAAGGCGGCAGTCACCTGAAGGCGAATATGGAAGTGAGGCAGGAGGGTTTGCTAAGATCCTTTGTCTTGCAGTGAAATGCATCTTCCGGGGTTGCTATGACCCTTTGTCTTGCAGTGAAATGCATCTTCCGGGGGTGTGGGAGGACAGTTCGTCCAGGGGAGCAGAAATTTGCTGATGTAACTTCCATCCAAGGTTTCATAAGCGACCTGTGACACTTAAAGGCTGAGGAAGAGCACTGCCTGGCATCACCCTTTGTGCATTTGGGGGAGGGGGGTGGTTCCAATTTCTCCCCAAACTCTTGGGCGAAATGCTCTTGCCACTGCCAACAATGGCAAAACTCCCCTTGACCTCAACGGAGCCCGGGTCCGACGGGGCAGAAGTGGAGGGCTTAGAGTGAACCACAGAACAAAGCTGAGTGCCACTGCCTTTTCCAAAAGGGTTGCTGTCTGTACTAGGAGGTGGGCACTTCCACGGATGTCCATAGGAGATGAGTGCTTGGCCCTTCCCAGAATTGGGCCCCTGTGCACCAATGCAAAGCCAGAGCAATGACGCCACCAGCCGTGGCAGGCAGCACGAAGGAGATGCATGCGTGAGGTCATTGCACCGATCCTTTGCGCCCCCTTCCCGTTTCATTCGTTTTCATCCTCCCGTTATCTTGCCCATGGCAAGTATTGCAAGTAGCTGCTGAGTCCTCCGGGTGAGCATGGTTGTGTGCAGGGGTGACACTCATTTCCAGACCCTCTATGGCAGATTGTGCTAAGCAGTGAGCTCTGTTTGGGTGGGTGACCTGCGTTTTGCCTGTCACCTTCTCCGAAGCTTGTGCTTTGCATTATCGCCTGTGTATGGCAGCCGGCTGTCCGAGTGGTGTTGGAAAGCGCACAAGCCCTGACGGGGTTCCTGTATTCTGGACGGTGCGTGCTCATGCTGTGGTGTAAGGCATCTTGGGGTGAGCTAACCAAGCCAGGTAGGGCCACATATGATGAATGACTCTTCCTTAGTGGAGCACTGGATTTTCTGCTAGCAGGGCCTTGACTTTGGAGGACTTGCTATCTGGGTCAAGTGGCTGTGGGATGGGGTGCAGTGGCTTGAGTTGGGTCATCACTCAAGAGGGCAATACAGATGAGTAGGGCCCTGGGAGGCAAGACTCCTGAGGAAGAGCTGAAAGAACAAAGTTTATTCAGTCTGGAGAAGAGCAGACCGAAGGGGGATGTGATAAGTCTTCAAGTACATGAAGGGTGATTAGAGAGGGGATGGAGATGGGCTCGTCTCTGGGACTGTAGGGGACAGGACAGGACAAGGAGCAATGGCCTCGAGCTGCAGCAGGGGAAACTTAGGTTGGAAATTAGGAGGAACTTTCTGACTGAGGATGGTCGAGCATTG